GCATAAAATACTACATATACTTCAGAATTTATCACAAATATGAAAGATACGAATGTCTTTGCAAGAGACAATGAGCAAAATGAGTCACATTTTCAGTGTGAGCCTATATTTTATACTTACTTGAAAATATTTTATCCATGTAACTTCAGAGATGAACTTTATGAATGCTTAGATGGAAATATTTTATTCACTTTTCCGGTAGGGAAAAAATTGTATGTAATGTAGCACATACATGTATTATATCATCACATCTGTTTATGTGGTTCAGCTTAAGTTGCAGTTACGGGCAAAATAAAAAAGAGAATCAAATATGTCTATATATGCTATCTGGAGAGTTTTATAAGAGGTGTGTTTTTGAATGCTAATGTTACTGGAGGACGAAGGACCGCTTCAATATCAAGGCTTTGAAATGCTCATGTCATGATACAAGAATCAGTGGTAGCATGTCTAAAAGGAGGATATCATCCCGAAAGGATAACACTGAGATGAGTAAGAACTATACATTTTCTGGCTGTTTTAAGAAAAAAAAAAGATATGCTGTTACATTCATGTATGCTGAATCAGGGTCCTTAGATGATATCAGCACTGTAATAGCTCTGGTCTTATTTCTCACTCAATAGCTTTTGAAGTTTTGGCATCTAGTTGTATCAATAAATTACTAAAATAAGTGAAAATATATTTGGTTATCGGAATGTCACATATGCAACATAAGCTCTTTATCTCTGTTCATCTCTGAGCCCTATTTAGGATGGCTAATTTCTTCAAATAAAACAAGCATTCCTCAATTGAAATCATATGATTTATTTAATCCAAACAAGGACTTTTAATCCTCTTCTAGATGAGTGTTTTTATACTTCCAACCATAGAGATGCTGCAGAATGATTAACTTCTTCTGCAGACCCAAGGGCGGTATCAAATCCAGGTGCAGCCCCCTCACATCATCTGTTTATCTCCATCTCTTCAGCTCTTTCAGCAGTTTTTTTTTTTTTTTTCTCTTTTTTCCACCTCTGCAGTCCCCTCTCATGTCTCTAACTGTGGTTGATTATAACAGACTGAATGTTGTTGTCTCCTGAAAGGGGGGCACACAGTACAGTTAACCTCCCTGGCCCCAGGAGCCCAGACCCTCCCTCACATCCCTCCTCTCCTTCACCAGCAGCGTGACACCTGAGAAAACGCGACGCCTCAATTGACAAGGTGAGCCTCGTCTTGTGTCTTTAATGCCTCTCCGACAAAGAGAGATTTTTTTTTTCTTTCAGGACAGAAGGCGCAACTATATTTGAGTTTCATCACATATGGAAAGATGCTAAGTATTTATGGGTTAAACTCCTATGCTTCAGTGCCTTTTTTTATGAAATAAAGAGGCATCCCAGTAAAGAAAAGCACACTGATGGCTTTAAGCTTTATGGAGCTGCACAGAATATCAAATTCTAATTGTCATCTCATTGTGTGCAGTATTGTAACTACAAAATGGTGTTTAGATGTAACATTTGGAATGGGTGTATTTTAAGTGCCATGCAGGCAAATTCTGCATTTCAGGAAAATGCAGGTTGATCGTGTGAAACAATACTATAGCAATTATATGCTTTTCTGAGATATATATAAAAAGTTAACATGATCTACAAAGGTGACCCATTCAAGAAAAAGCACCACTGCTAACTTGATAATTGAAACGCAGTCTGTTCAGATGACCATATTGCCCTTATGTGCCACTGAAAATGGGCATTAAAAGTTGGGAAAGGTTTATATACACAGGTGTTCATAAATCCAGCATTTATCATTTTATTTACCTAGTTTTCAAATTTATAAATCCCACTTTAAATGATCTAACCTGTTGTCCAAACTAAAAATGTTGACACTTTGCATGTTTAACATAGATAATAAGCAAGCTATTTTTTAATTCTCTCATGTAATGTCAGTTATTTAAAGTGTGCATGTTATTTTTCATTACTGCTAAAAAGCTGCATATTTAGAACTTTGTACTGTGATGTCTGTGTGCCAAGAATTTAATAAACACACACAAAAAAATAAATGTGTGCAGGTCTTTTTTTGTATGCGAGTGTGATATAAAGAAATTAACAACTTCAACAACAGATAATCAATGTATTATATCAACATCATAACTAATACAAAACACGCTTCCATGTAAGATTTGATTCAGAATTTTATTTAGAAATGAATGTTTACACACAGAAATGAACCAAACAACAATGACGTGTTTAACACATTAATAAATGGGTACAAAATATGAAGCTAAGGTTCAGTAATCTGCTATGTTTAGAAATATTACACCATTACCTGCGTACAACCAGTTACACTTTTTCCAGTAAAGAAAATGCATTAGATGACCTATTTACTGGATTTGTCATCAATAGGGTGATCTTTCCACATGGGTTCAAGGATATGATCTGGAATCTTCTCCATAGCGGTCTGAAATGTGAACAGAGGAAAATAATTAAATATCATGTATAAATTATTAAGTCTTCGTAAACGATGCTGTTCTACTGGTTCTTCACTTCCTTACCTTTGTCACCTCCATGGCCACACCCTCAGGGAGGTTCCTCTGGATGTATTCAAGGTACACTTGTGCTGTGCAGCCTGTAACATGCAGCAGCTAAGAAGATGAACACAATAGTTATTAAAATCACTGCATTTTGTCACCGTTCATGGTTGAATTTTGCTTAACAACTGAAGCCTCCACCTCAATAGAACGGTAGTGTGTCCTCATCTCATACTGAACCCTGTGCTTCTTGTAGATGTGCACTGACTTCAGCAATGTCAGTCTCTCTATATCCTTGGGAGGCTCAAAACTGGTAGAAAAGAGGAGTAAAAATCTTGACGTTACAAGGTGTATAATACTTGAATGAGCTTTTGATGTCCTGCCACTGAGACTCACACTTTGCCCATAGTGATGCCCAGCTCTTTAGCCGCCATCGTGGCAAAGAACTCATAGCTGTCCAGCACGGCTCTGTCATGAGCCTTGACCAGAACAACCACCTTCTGGAAGAGAGTGTCGGGCTCGTCTGTGACAGTGATCTGCATAGAAGACCACAAATTACAGATTTAACACCATCACTCTTTGGTAGAAATATTTTTAGAATTAAGTCTGATGTTAAAATACAGAAAAATGCCACTTACTGTAAAAGGTGTTGAAGATAAATATGCGGCTGTGTGGAAGAAAGTATTGGGTCTCTGTAGCAATTCGAACCTGCACAGAGTGAAATATTACAGCTGTATTCATTATAGAGGCCTGATTAAAATCTCAGAACTAGTATTGATTGTAAAGCTGCACTAAATAGGCACATCAAATGTGTTTTGAATTTTACTCAACTTGATTTAAGATAACTCTTCAATACAATTTTCAGGTATTGCTGCAGATTCATATCTGTTCTTTTCATCCATTTCTTTTGCCTAAATATTGAATACTTTTTTTCACAGTAATGCTTCATATTTTTCCCTTTATTTCTCAATTCCAATGTCCTTAAAACCTGAGAAATGTCTACAACTTAACAAAAGAAGCTACTCAAAACTTTAATATAACGATAATTGCGTTTTAAACTGTTAAAATGTAGTAACATTACTCATTACTGTCTGAAAGCCAGCACAGAGTAAAATAAACTTACCGAGTTTGACTGCATTTCCTGTGATTGGAACAAGCTCCCAAACCTCTCGGTCCCTGTGAACAATAAAGTTAATTAGGTACAAATGTATATATTGACATTCATGATGTTGAAGGAGCCACGAGTGACCGAAATGGGGGATTCGAGGACCATTTTTATCAATGCAACGAACAATAATGTTTCTTAATTATTCAAACAGGATATTTAAAACAAGAAATGTTATCGTTAACATACCAACTGTGAAATTCCACCTAATATGTTAACTAAAGAGAATAATTCCCGTCTGACAACCAAGGGCGCAGCCATGTTTAGTAAGTAGTAAAAAAAACAAAAACCCTGCAATTTTTTTTTCTTTCTGCACTGCCCCCTTGTGTAGTGGAGCATACACTACATCGCCGGATTGACAAAAAACTAAAAAAAACATAAAAACTTGTCAATGCCATCTTCATTTTTAGCAACAATTTTATGAGCATTACTATATTCAGAACATGATTCATACAATTGAATAAATTAAAAATTTCAAAGGCTACTATCATCAATATTTGGATTGTATTTTCTAACATTCAGTTTTAGCTCATTAAATTGATGAATAAAGTGATCATTTTAATAGTGTATTGATTGAAAAAAATGCTACATCCTATAAATCACTTTACTGATCAACCTTGTAAATAACCATAAGTGTTTTATTATTGCAGTAAATTTTAATATGTTTTATTTTGCCATAAAAGTATAAAAAATCAACATAAAATGCAAGCCAAAATCAATGGTTAGTAGCTGATAAGAAAATAAATTAAAACTTATATCTGCAAAAAAAATGTACCCACAGTATGAGCTAAATATTAAAGTAATGTGGATGAGATGTTTACTCAAATGTAATTAATAAATGAGACAGAAAGTGGACATAATGAAACAAATAATGTAATATTTGTTACAATTAATATTGAAAATATGAATAATTAAGAACTAAAATAGAAGACACAGAGACAATATCTGCTTGCCTAAATAACAAATAGAAAATGATAATTAACTTCAACTACTGAACAATACGCTTTCTTGCTCATACTTGCTTGCTTTTAGAAACGTCCACAATCACATTTTATTTTATTTATAGTTGTGGTTCATTTACAACGTATATGTAATTATTAATATGTCATTATTTTTTTTCCCAAAATGTGTAAGATCTTTATTGAAGAAGTTCATTGAGCTGATTGTGTATCCATCTGTTTGTATTCATGATAATTCGAATAATAGTTGCAGCATGAGCTGGTAATAGTAATTAGTAAACGATGCAAATTATTTGTATCAGTTTTATTTAGTTTGACCCTCTTCTTCCAGTTCATTGCCTGTTTTCCATATCAGTCAGGCAGGCTGCGGACGCTGTTTCTGGAATAGTCAAGCGAAGCAGTGACAACAAATGAAGCGTGTCTCCTCTGACAATAAAGAGCTTGTATTTTTATCCACACGTGGCGAAAGATCAAAGTTAAACCGCTACCGTTGTTGGTATAAATAATTCAGTCGGCTTGGGTCACGTGTCCGTCACGTGTCCCAGCTGTAGGGGCCCTGCCAGTGTACAGTAGCTCTGAGGCTGCAGGCGGAGGAAGCGGCGGCAGCAGCAGCAGCAGCAGCAGCAGCAACACACCGAGCCAAGGTAAGCTCCCCTCTGCCCACTGGTGCTTCTGTGGCTTTGTTCACGGCGGGGCTGGGTTTATTCTCACTCTTTGTTCACTACACCAATTATCTGTCGTTGTATTCCAAAGCTGTCTTTAAATATTGAATAAACACTAGAGTAAACGGTTCTGTTAGCCGTAGCCGTGTTAGCGACAGTGCCAACGGCGGATGGACGGTTAAAGTCTCCGCTGAAGATGGGGCTTCGGGTTCGGCTTCGGCTAGCTGTTCGGCTAGCCAGCCCAGCGTTCACTGGTTGTTTTCTTTTGTTACCCTCCGACACTCCATACTTTGGTAGCTGTATTCTTGATAATCTGCTGAGATGTTTTGGTTTTTGGAGCCAGCAGCTCGACCCCCAACATCCAACATCCAACTGTTGGCTAGCTGTTGTTAGCAGGCAGTTAACCGCTGTTTTTGAATCATCTAATAAACAAAAAAAAAAGTTAGTTTAATTAAATGTATTATTGCGTGTCATTGTGTCTTTTTCTATTGTGCAAGAAACAGTTTGACCAGCATCTATTAATATTATTACACTGCAATTTGTTAATGTAAAACTGTTGTTATAACTGGACTCGTGTATTGAATTGATTTTACATATATTTCGATTTCAGTCAACTAGGAGGGTGTCGTTTTATTGTCAGTGAGCGAAAAAAAACGTCTTCAAATGTTAAGACCCAGTTTTTGTCCCTGTGTTTTTTTACCCAGACTGCTTTTATGCAAGTTAATCAATCAAGCCTTATTTGTGTTGAATCCTTTTTGCAACTTCATGCAGCTCAAGCTGCTTTAGAAAAATAAAAACAACTCTCCTCTTTTTTTAGCTACACCAGTCAGTCAAAAAAAAAAAATCAACACCGTTTTCCCTCTGTTCAATAGGCAAAATACTGAAAAATCTGATGAAGATTGAAAGTAAAAATTGTGAAATAAAATTAAACAAAATAAAAGACACAATTAAGAAACGGATCAATACAATAAAATTACAATTATCAGAGGTACAGCAGTTTTCCATCGATTGGCTCTTTATTTGTGATCAGCATGTCAAAGGCACGCTTTCCAATTCATCAATTGCGTCAAGCTGACGATGACTCCTAAAATTTTGGCTTATAGAGCATCAACAAAAAGATGCATAAATTAGGATAATCTTGTAATTCCATAATAATAAGAAAAACAAATCAATCTGTTGCACACATTTTTAAAATTATGTTTTGTCGTGTAAGCTTCAGAAGAAAAGAAAACCCAGCAATTGCGACATCAAACCTTAACGATAAATTGGCATCAGCCTGGAAAAAAAAATCTGTGCTTTTCCACTCCTGATTCTTCTGAGAAACAACCAAACAGAATACACTCTTAAATTATGTGGCAAAAGAAGTTAAAATTACTGTTCAACACACTTTCCAGTCATGAAAAAAAAAAAAACACAACCATCTTCCATTGATTTTGACTGATTTAATGTTTTTTGTTTTCTCTCAAGTACTCGCAACACAAAAGAAAATATATTCTCTACTTTTTTTTTATTTATCGTATCAGTCCAGTAAGTAAAACCAGGTTGATACAAACAACCTACGTTTATTTCTGTCTTGTTTTTGTTTGTGTTTCAGGAGGAGAACAGGGAGGGTTGGCCATGTGGTATTTGTTTGGTCATGTCAAAGTGAAAGTGATGCACCGTAGGACTGTGGGAGTGTTAAACTGAAGCAGAGAAGCAGTGTAGGTGGTGGTATGTAGGAAAATATACAGAATATTGGTTATTGGCCATAACGGCAGGATTAATATTGGATAGCAATACTACTTTAGCCCAAATGTTCGTACTAGTGCATAGTTTTCAGGATGGACAAGAATAGAAAATGGAGGCCTTGCTGTATGTTTTAGTTCTGGCTTTTTTTTTTCTTTTTCACTTTTAAACCTGCTACCAGAAGAGTTGAGGATGCTGGAGGGTTCCTACAATCAAATGGCCGTTAAATAAAATGGACTACTTCTATTAGAAGTCTTCCTGCAAGAGGAAACCTTATTATAGCATTATATTGAAATAAAACAGAAGCTTAAATGATAAATTTTTTTTTTTTTTCTAAAATAGATGAGTCTCTAATTAAACATGCTTCCGCTGAGCAGCAGAGTGCTTGAACTATTTTCGGTGGGTACATGAATATTTCAGTCGGTGGCTATGGGCGGCAGGTGAGGGATTTCACCTCCTTTTTACGTGGGTTGGGTTTTTGTTTTTGTTTCATCTGATCATTTCTGCGTGATGACATTTGTTGCTCTGTGTCGCCCAGCAGCCCTCTCCAGAGTCCCCGAGGCAGCTTAAAGAAGCAGACAGGCTGACGTGATGAGGTTCCCGGGAGAAGCTGCTCCCCTGCGGGCTGACAGCTGATAGAGGAGGAGACCCTTCTCCTCCTCTCCCACGCGCACTCGGGGACAAACGAGGAGGACCATGAACGTCGAAACCAGACCCGTTTGAAGAAAAACGTCACTCGGACCAACTGGAGGCGCCGCCTGGTTGAACATGCTTGTTTTTGGGTGTGGAAGATGCAGCTTGGTTTTGATGTCTCTTTTTGCTCTGCTGCTGACATGAGAGGCGTGGCTTTTGCTACATTAAATGTCTAAGTATTTCTTTTCTTTTTTTTTTTTTTTTCACATCGCTGGCTTTTGTTGCCTTGTCCTTGAAACTGCATCAGCCAGGCTGTTCAAAAACATCACAATGACTTGAGTGCCTTTTGATTTTTTTGATTTTTTTTTTTGCAACCCACTTGGCTAAATGACACAGTTAATTCAGCAATGCTAACGTCCACAGTTTTCCTATCCTGTTTCTTAGTTTCGGGGAAGTTTTGATTGATCACCTTTACTCACTGTCGCAGATAGCCAAAGGAAAGCATAAGTACTATGCACCGTAGTTGCTCACGCAGATCCTATACAAAACCATTAACCTCACAGGAAGAGAGGCAGTCGTAACAGCACCCGAACCCGGACGAAGAACCTCTCCCCTCTCTCTGTGTAGTCGTTTTTGTTTTTTTGTTTTTTTTATTGAGGGGGTTCTGAGAGCCGCAGGGATGTTTGCTTCCGTGGAGCATGGCCCGGTGCTCTGTAGCGACTCCAACATCCTGTGTCTGTCCTGGAAGGGCCGAGTGCCCAAGAGCGAGAAGGAGAAGCCGGTGTGCAGGAAGCGGTACTACGAGGAGGGCTGGCTCGCTACCGGGAACAGCCGGGGGGTCGTCGGGGTCACGTTCACGTCCAGCCACTGCAGACGGGACCGGGCCACACCGCAGAGAGTCAACTTCAACCTCAGAGGACACAACAGTGAGGTAATTGAGGAGGAATGATTTTTTTATTCATTTATTTTTTAGCTATAAACTGCTTATTTAATATCTATCTAATTTATCTATGTTAAAATCACAGTCCAGCTGAGCAATTTTGGGCATAATATCTGAGTTAGTGGAACTGCAGCTATTGAAGTTTTCAGAATTTTTTTATTTATTTATTTATTTATTTTTTATTTTTTTGCTTTATCAAGTCTGCATATGTATGGAAAAATTAAAATGGTGTGGGGGAAAAAAGGTTAATTTTCTTTCTTTTTTTGACATTGTGTCTTCTTCTAACCTTCCAAAGATAAAAATCAGCTTTTCTGGAGCATGAAAGGTGTTTCACATTGATTTATATTCAAATTATGATTTTTATTTTCGGTTTACCATATCACAATTTGGGTTTTTGTCAAACAGAGTGATCATTTTTGTTTTTGCGTTTACTGACATGTCATTTAAAAATAAATAAAGCCCATTTTATCCATCCACCCATCCATTTTCTGAACGCCCTTGTCCCTCAGTGGGGTCGGGAGGGGTGCTGGTGCCTATCTCCAGCTAACGTTCCGGGCGAGAGGCGGGGTACATCCTGGACAGGTCGCCAGTCTGTCGCAGAAGCCCATTTTATATAATTTGTATTTTCTTTTACTCTAGATCCATTGGCTTCTTGGTTTTAAACTGGACCCAAGTTTCTTGAACTAGGCTCAGTTTAGATGCCAAGCAAAACTTAAAAAAAAAAAAAAAATCCTACTTTTTATATGTCAGGAAAAAGCTTTACTGATTGCCCGCTGGGATTTAAAGAGACACATTTCATCTTGGTTACATATATCCCCATTCTTCTGTCTATTATAGATTTCAGGTAGTGCATAGATTTCTATCTTGCTGTTGAATTAATGGAGTAGAAATATTGCAGTTCTCAATTTAAATTTTTTTTTTTGTATTTGAAGCTCTGACCTGCTGATGCATGTGGATTCTGTTACATTTTCTATTGTTACTGAGTTGGCATCTTAAGTTACGTTAAATGTCAGCAGTTAGAACGTTTAGCTCTCTGTATTTTCCACTTGGTAAATCGAGCCCATGTAGGGTTGAGGTTTTCTCCACTGCCTGTAAACATTTTCTAATCCAATATGTTTCATGACAGATGGAGGTTTAAAGCACAAAAGGATAAAATAGGAACTTTTTTATTTTTTCCTGTAAGCTGTGTTCAGCCTTCTTGGTGTCTGCCAAGGTCCCTCTGATTTTCAAAGTTACATGGACTTACTATGTGTTGCATTCAGTTTTTCTCTGAAGTCGGAGTGAGAATTCAACATGAGATCACCAAATGTACACTTCTTCCATTTGACAAAAACGTAAAGAATATATTTGGAGCTTTTATTTATACTTTATAAATCTTTTAAAAAACAAAAGATAAAGTGTCCTGTTGATGCCTTTCCTTCTAAGGTGGATGATGTCATTCTGTTTTCCAACACAGAAGTATCTACCTTTGTTTAGTTTAATTGGAGCACTAGATTTTATAAAGGCACGAACCAGTGGGGGTGGAATCATTTAATAGATGTATTTATTTTTTGGGTTGTGGTTAGAGGCAAGACTTCTCCCTGACTCATGCTTTGACAGTCTTACATCAGATCTCCCTGCTGCTCCCAGTCACAACATTGCAGCGCTCCAGTCTCTGTTGTTGCTCTCGAGACTCAGCGTGGTTAAGCTCTCGAAAAGCTTCCCACTACCAGTGCAAATGAGGCCGCAGCGCTAAATCAGAAACATGAAATGACTAAATCCTGAGTCTAATAGTTGCTGTGTGTGTGTGGGGGGACTGATAGTTGCCGTCAGCATACAACGGAGCTGGCACCGATGAGACCGCACACAGGTTGCAGCTTTGCGTTCTGTGGGTGGAGCTGCTGGTCAGATGGAGCATGGTGCTGTGTCAGCATTCCATAAGGCAGCTGAGGGGAGAGTGGATGGATCCCAACACGGAGGGACTGAGCCAGAGCAAAAATGTCATTTAGCTCTGCCCACTTGGACTCGGTCCAAACACTTATTCACTTCGGCTGAAATGTCCCTTCTGTTGTTTTTCTGTAATTAGTGTGTCGGAGAGCAAATGTAAGTCTTTTTTTTTTTTTTTCTTTTTCATTTGTTTATGCTAAATTTGACCGACGTGTACACAATGGTGCATAAAACGATCATAGTATTCGTCAGAAGAGGCGTTTAATTGCAACCGACTTGCAATTAATTAAATGCTTGTTTGTCTGCATTTTATTTCATATACCTGACGATAAACTCCACCGAGACAAATTGGTTAGATTTTTAAATTGGCTCGGAGAAAAATTCCTGTTGTTCATCTTTTCTCGTCCCAGAAACATTAAGACGAAAGCCGTAAATATCCTACCTTTGTATAAAGCTATAAATGCTTTTAGAAACGTAGAATCCTGTCAAACAGCCTAATGAAATCTGTCACATTTGACAGATATTTTTCCTCAGCAGTGTGATTTTTATTTATTTTTTTTCCATTTCTGTTTTTATTTAAGGGTCCTGGCATAAAAAAAGAAAAAATTCCCAATCTTGTGTCGGAATGCGTTTTAAGACTGAACTTCTCCTTTGCAGTTTTTAAAAAGAGCTTCACCAAGAAATGTGTTTATCCTCTTTCTCTGTGTCTTAGCCTTTTGGTGTCAGCTTCGTCATTGACTATGACTTGTCCTAAATTAGCTCAAATCATGTTTCTCAAGAAATATCAACAGAGAAATGCACTACTAACCCCTTTGCTCTTTTAACCCAGTTGACGTTTAACCTGCAGTTTTTCAAGAAGAAGTTTGTTTCTAACATGATGCAAGATGAAAGAAAGTCAAAGTTTCAAGCTCTCAAATAAGTTTTCATTATTTTTAGAAACTGGATTAAACGTCTCAACAGTGCAGGATCCATGTTGAGGCTGTCACAGGGCCGAGTTAAAGAGTGAGCGTGATGTGTGGATGGTCGTGTTTTGTTCTATGACCATTCATATAGAGCTGTGTCAGAATGAATTGGCTCGTAATGTGACCTTTAGTTATGATTTAAAGCCAGTAGATAAAGGGAATTAAAAACTATCTTTTTCTCATGGGTGGAAGTTTCACACTTAGGCTTTTTTCAGTCAGACAGCTGCATTTATTTTGGTGAATGACTATCGCTCTTCCAGAGATTTAGAAAGGTATTTATGCTGATATTTCTTGCATTTTGATAAAAATCAGCAATCTCTTCATTGTCTGCTTGGTGTAAAAAAGAAAAAAACAAAAAACAAAAAAAAACACGTTGGACGAAGTATAATCGCAAAACACCAACCTTTTACAGAAGCTGCCTGATGTGTTAAAGGATTGATTTTATTTCTGTTTTCAGGAGTCTGAATGCGCTACCTCCTCTCTGTATAACGGGTGTCTTACCCATTATTTAGCTCCAGTCAGAATGCAGAGAAGAGCAAACAAGAAGCCATTTTGAAACCATTCACAAGAGACTTCTTGGTGGCTTCTTACCCAGAGGCAGGAGTCCCTGAAGGTCCGATCCAGAGTTTTCTCTCTGACAAAGAGAGATAAGTATCTTAGGTCCCTAAGATAATCCAACAGAGACCTGTGACCTCAGGGCATAAAGTAATGTTTACCACTGTACTGTTTTTGATTTGTCTCGCTGTGCAGCTTTGCCTCGGGTGGCCTAGATATTAATCCACGTTGTGACTTTTGTTTGATCGCACATTGTAGTGCAACTGTTTGGGTTTAGATTTCTTTCCATTCTTCTCCGAATGCTGAAGTTTTAATTGAGATCATAAATGTTGTTTTCTTTCACAAAGCAACCCAGTGCGGATTAAAATCCTTGCTTCTAATAATTTCTTAAGAATGAATCGGTACATTTTGCAGGGGTGAATCCACAATGTACGTTTCTCGTAAATTGACAGGAAAGAGGGATTAAACATTTGTTGTACACCACCAGGATTAATGACAGTGTTGTTTTGTGACCAATGTCAAAAAATATATCGATAATGGCATAATAATGCAAGTTCGTCCCTCTCGAAGACAAATAAACGTACATTTTGTAAAGAACACTTAACACTGGAACTGAAATATCCTATGTATGTGAAGGTATATATTTTCGATTTTTATCAATGCAGCCAACATGTAGTTTATCCTATTACTTTGCAAATTTTCTAATTCTTCACCAACTCGTGTCATTTCACACACACTACCCTCTCCGACCTCTCGGACCACTTGACTCTAGACATCCTGTTCAGACTTGAATCCTTCTTGACCCCTTAATTGCATTAAAATGGTCTCGCCAAATGTGCTTAGTTCAGATGTCTGTGCTGTGGTAATCCATCCTGGGAGAGAACATGTTGCATAACTCCTGGGGCTCAGCTGCAACCCCAGGTTCTCTGCTCTTCCTCCAGAGTTGCCAACAGAGATGGCGTGGCCTCCGCACTGCTAATATATACCCACAGAAGCAGCTATGCAACTCGCTATTAAATCGGGTTTTATTACATACAAGGCAGAGTCATAAACATCTCAGGTTGTACGTCCCCTCCCTGAAGGTCCCATCCTGTTACCGCTCCGTGGCATCGCAAATCATTCCACGCGGCTTTGCTCATTCGGACTTCCTTGCCTTTGAATCAGCACAGCGCAGTGCTTTTCTTTAATTGAGTTTTGTGTCTGACTTGAAATCTTGTCAAAGCAGGGTCGGAAGGGCAACAACCGAGGACGGGAAGCGGACATTCACATTTAGCTGTGACTTTCAAAAGTGAAATATCAGCGGGCAATATTTGTATTTACTTCTTAGAAATGTATTTGTTTTTATTGGGAATGTTATTTGATAAAACTGAATTTTGAAGTCGTAGAATAAAAAGAAACTGTCTTGAACTCATCTTTTTATTGTTGTAGCTTAAACAGTAGGACCACAGTGAAAATGATCTGCGGAGATGTTGGCAACTGTCTAAGAGCTCCAATCGTTTTTAGTTTCTTAATGGTTGAAGGGCTGGTGCTCACTTTGCTGCATGTTGTGTTACATCGCCTGTTGAAAACAATTCCTCTCTGTTCGACCATAAAACACACAATCGTGCTTAATAACAAGTCTTCGTCATGCATCTGCAGGAGGTTGTGTGTTTGCACGTGACTGTATTCTCTCCGTCTCTTTGGTGTCGAGTGCTTTCTCATGCCTGTCGCCATGTGACGTCTGATCTCCCTGATCGTTGCGTCACAGCGAGGTGCTCAGGTGGGATCCCCTCACCATCTTACACTAATCTCCACTCCGAGCTAAATTTACATCAATTCACAGTTTATTGTCGCCTCTGCGGAAGTGCAAGTACACGTGATGTACGAAATGTGTGAAAATTGGGTTCATTTATTTATTTTTCTCTCTCTCGCTTTTAGTACTCATAAATATGAGAAAGATGGTAGAACATTCCGACTATGATACATGTGTAATATGAAGGTTCAATCTGAATTTGTACGCCAAGTAAAATGTCCACTTCCTTGGTAATTCTATGACTTGATTGGTATTAATGTTAAAACCGTAATTGATCCAGAACCTACACTATAGCTTCCCAGTACCATCATCTTCATTACGCCCAATAATAAACAATAGCACTTGATTGATTTTTTTTATTTATTTTTTTTTTTTAGCTGCTATTTGTTTTTACTAGAGGAATTCACAAAACTCAAAGTTTCATTATAGCCTAAATGTGTTTAGTTATAACCTTTAAATCACAATATAAATTATTTTAATGAACCATTCTTGGTATTCAGAAATGTATAACTTCGATTTTTTTTTTTTTGTCATCATACGTTTAAAATGAGTAAAAAGCAAATTTTCACAAGCAGTTTCCTTATTACTCTCATTAGATGATTATCACAGAAAATAATAAAATTGTCATAAATTGATCTTATGAAATATTCTTTGGTTTCCCAAAGGGGTATTCCTGTTTACATTTTTAGTTACTCTTTTTGGCATCCCAGTTTAAGGATAGACTCTGTATTGATTTATTTATTTCTTTTTTTCTTTTTCCAACTTTCATTGACTGGTCTGTCGGAGTGACACTTATCTGAGTGCCTAAGCCGAACTAAAACCTTGGCCTGTGTTGTGTATTTGAGCGTGTAAAGCCCACGTGCTCTGCTCGGTGAAAGCAGAGCTGCTCTTTTCTTAGGATTACTGCCTTAGGAATCGGCTGAGTCACCGTGCACAAGACCAGAGAGAAGACCGGGAGAGCACAGAGCAATGTAGTCGGACCGATGACGACGTCAGAGAAGCTGGTCGTTAACAGTTTGTGCTGCGTTTAATGCCTTCCTCCTCTGCTTCTCACACCTGAGGGCTATGACAACACATGTGCAATCCCTCGGAGGGAAAACGCAAACCCGTTCACGTTTGAGTTGCTGATGCCGGACTTTATATGCTACAGCATTACTTTGTTTCTAAGCAGAATATGGTCAGAAATGTATGAAGTCATATTGTCTGTAATATGTAGGATGTTAGCAGCTCCTTCGTGACTTTCTCCAAATGAGGTTAACCTACTTTTTCTATTTCCGTCTAACGTGAAGCTAAATTTAGATCATTAAATGGTGTGAAAATCAATATGACTTTTTAGCTTTTTTTAGGCTTCAACTGATGCTTATTTGGAGCAAATTTTTCATCCGTCAGTGTTTTGATCATAGCAGCTTTGTTGTTCATTTATCTACACAAAGCTCTGTCACGAAGGAAAATCATTTCCATATCAAAACAACTCTGTCGTCTGTTTTAACTTGAGCTGCTTTTCTTTGTTTTATAGGTGGTATTGGTGCGGTGGAATGAGCCTTTCCAGAAACTGGCCACATGTGACACAGACGGAGGGATTTTTGTATGGATTCAGTACGAGGGTCGCTGGTCTGTGGAGCTCGTCAACGACCGTGGAGCTCAGGTTAGGATCGTGACCGATGTGTAGAGGAACAGATAAATTAACAGGAGATGAGAAGGTTTCTGAAGTGCCCTCTGCCTGTGTCAGTATAACAGACACAGGCAGTTATAGCCTTTAGCAAAAAGGCTAAAAATAAATCGCAGTTGCTAAAATTGCAAAACAACTTTTGAGATGAACTTGGATTGAGCACTCCAAGTAGGTCTGATAATACACCATAAAAAAAATCAATCAATCAAAAGATGAATATTTGGTAGCATATTAAACACAGAAACTGGCATCACTTTCTAACAAAACAGCTGTAACAGAGAAACTCTCTACAAACTCAGTTTATTGTTCTTTTTTTTTTTTTTTGCTTTTTCTTCAATAGCAACATTTTACAATTTATATTACTACATAATGATCCCTGTAGGTGAGTGACTTCACCTGGTCGCATGATGGAACGCAGGCTCTCATCTCGTACCGTGACGGCTTTGTCCTGGTGGGCTCTGTCAGCGGACAGAGACATTGGTCTTCTGAGATAAACTTGGAAAGTCAGATTACCTGTGGAATCTGGACTCCTGATGACCAGCAGGTAAGTCACACACCTAACAGACGAGTTAACTACATTTTCTGTCTCGGATCTGTTCAAGCTGATTTTTTTATTTATTTATTTTTTTTTATCTGATCCTTCTTATTCCTTTTAACCTTGTGGGACTTGTTTATCTTTTAATTGCCCTTTTGAAAATCCATTGATCACCTTTTTTCTAGTGCCTTTGATATTGAATTTTAGAAATGATGAAAAATCTGTTTTTCACACTTGAAAGGGAATTTGCTTCTGTGGAGATTGAATGAGTTTTAACATCACTGTGAAGGGATTTTGGTCCACTTTTCTTTACAAAAAACTGTTCATTAAGCCACATATGAGGTTTATAATTATAAATGGCCTGTTTAAGGTTATGCAATTGCCTCTCAATCAAATTTGTAGTCTTTCACTAGGCCATTCCAGATGTTTCATCGGTTAGTCAGAGGTGATATTAAGGCCATCATCCTGTTGCATTACCTAAGTGTACTTGAGCTCTAGGGCACCAACAGAAGACTGAAACTCGAAAGATTTAATATTTCAACTCTGCACTATGCCATCCCAGTGGATAGATGTTGAAATGTTGACTTTTATTTGCCAGACTGCGTTTTTGCTTTTGGTATCCAGACAGATGAGAAATTATTTTTAAATGGCAGCAAATTTGGTTCTTTTCAAACATGTTTGTGTTGGCTGACTTTAACCAACTTTGTGTTTGTCCTATAACTTTGTTTCTGTGCAGCATATAAAAGTTATCTTTTACTTGGTTTCATTTAGGTCTGTCCCCTCTCTCTCCTCTTACTCCTTCCTTTTTTTTCTTTAATTTTCTTAAAAGTAGTTGTGGTTGTTCTCTCCTCAGGTGTTGTTCGGCACAGCAGATGGACAGGTCATAGTCATGGACTGCCACGGGCGTATGTTGGCCCATATTCTCCTCCATGAGTCCGATGGCATTGTTGGCATGTCATGGAACTACCCCAGCTTCCTGGTGGAGGACAGTAGTGAGAGTGACACGGACTCCGATGATTACACTCCACCCAAAGGTATTCTTCTCAAACTTTTACCTGGACAGCAAACTGAACCATGACTGTACTGAAGCTGCTCATCTTCAACCCTAACTTGTTTGAGGGAGAGAAACGGGATGCACCCCTGGAATTATTTCACTGTCACAGACAAAGAAAAACCTAAGAAAGCATAATTTTACATGCAATTTTTGACTTCTGAAACGACAGTTAATTTCTTTGAACAAATGAAAAAGATGAACAATGAAAAATGCAGAATTAAAAAAGACATGAGAAATTATACCGTAATGCTTTTGAAAATATTCTGTTAAGGTGCATAAGAAGTATTGGGAAACATCTGTGCTTGATCATGGAATAACTAAAGACACTCATGCGATTAAATATTTTATTCGACAGCCATATTGAATGCATAATTAAAGTCACCTCCTAAAAACAGGACACCAAAATTCCCTTTGTCTCATTGTTTTAACTTTGGGTTAAAACCGGCAGTCAGACGTTAGCATTTTCTTTTTAGCTTATGCCGTTTACTGAAGTCAGAGAAATAAGACAAATATTCACTTGCAGATAAAAATAAGAAAAAATCACTCTTTATAAGCTTTCATGAAGTATTACAGCAAGAAATAAGTTTATTTTAATCGGTGCCCGTTTTGTTGTTTGTCTCCTTTTATCTTCACCCTAATTACTCCCAGTTGCCAATGTTGTTTTGTTCTTGGCCTGTCTTCCTCCCACTTTGCCATTTGTTCTTCTCCTCCCTTCACCACAGGCCAAGTGGTTAAGCTGAGAAGTGCTTACCTCATCAGAAAGGCTGGCTGTGCTCGAACTCACTAATTAAACCGTTCAGTAGAAATTGATTGGCTCACATAGAAATTATCTCTCAAGTTGACAACCGGACCGAGACGCCGTTCCTCATCAATCTTTTCTTTGCAAAAAGTCTTTGTCATACAGTATTTCAATAAGCCATTAATACTGAGCTAAATTTCATTTAAAGGTGCATTTTCTGTCTAGTTGAGTGATTTTTGTCTTTTTTCTCCGTAACATCAGCAGTTCTTGCAGTATTAAGCACCATAAGCATGCTTTAAAAAAATGTCTCGCCTCTTTCCTAACAGACCATTGTTGTCCTTTATGTCCTCTCAGTGCACAGTCAGAAACCACTGCTGACGGTCAGCTTCACCTCTGGAGACATCAGCCTGATGAATAGTTACGATGACCTCTCACCCACACTGATCCGAACCGGTTTGAAAGGTGTGTGTGTGTCTCCCAGGAGTTAGATTACTGCTTCCCTATCTTACCATCTCTTGTTGTCGCACACTTCAATGTCTTAACGATTTAAGGTCATGTTAAAAGATCGAATGCTTATTTTCGTTCTCCCTGTGCTACAGATGTTGTAGTCCAGTGGTGCTCTCAGGGCGACCTTTTGGCAGTGGCAGGGATGGAGAGAACAGTCCTCCTGTCCTCCGACGCTCCATGTTCTCCACCCACCAAGAACGCCATTGTCAAGTTCTACAATGTTAGAGGGGATCACATCTACACACTAGACACACCAGCACAGGTGAGGACTTGGAGCTGAGACATGGAAGCTG